TGAGGGTTAGGGGGTGAGGGGTCTCTCTATGGCATTGGTCGGCTGAGGTGGTGTTATTGAATGTCCCTTGTGTAGCTATGCCTTCGTAATAAGGGGGTGCTGCTGCTAGACATAGCCAACAGGATTCAGTCAGATTGGGGTCTGTCTGTCTAATGGCCTTATATGCTCCTTGGATTAAATTGAACAGTCGGTCCCCCGTAGGCGAAACCTTTTGACTCAGGGGGCTGGAGGTCCGTTCTAACAGGATATTGGCAGAAGTGTCAGAAAAAGGGTTGGGGAGGTGTTGTGAGGTGACTTCAGGTGTTAAGGCTGGCGGGGGATTTGGGTAATTGGGGATGGGATTCTGGATAGTTAAGACAGGGTTGGGGCCTATAGCTATTGAATGGGAGGAGATGTCTCTTTTAATAGTAAACAAGGGGCCAGGATCTGTCCCCTCATATATCCTAATTCCCCAAGAATGTCCCTTGTCCCAATTTGTGGCTTTTTTTTCTGCTGTTGTGAATTCTATCCAGAGGGGATGGCACGATTTGCCTTGACAGTCCTGATTAAGAGCATTTGGGCTCTTATGAGAATAGTTTGCTTTTACAGTGATGTAATCCCAGGATGAGGACAGGGACCACCAGGTGTCCCCAGTTGTTTTGCATCCCCAGTTTTTACAGTAAAAGTAGTCCCTTTCTCCACATTGGGAGTTGAGCCGCTTATCTCGATGGTTACGTGGGCAGACATAGAAGGTTAACAGGCGTATCTCGATGGTTACCTGGGCAGACATAGAAGGTTAACAGACACAACAGGTTCCGTTCATGACACTCTCCCCCTGTTAGGTGGGGCCCTCGGAACAGGGGATAAGCTTCCGGGCTGGGTACTTTATCAGGATCCATGAAGTCTGGTATGTCCCAGGGTGCCGGTGCTCCTAAGGCTAATTTACACAAATCTGGATACAATGTAGGCCACCAAGTGCCCTTGGGTGCCATTTTGTGGGTTTCAAATACTATAATACCCATTTGATTAATCACCTGCTAGTAGTCAGCATAGGGAGATGGGGGCCTCCTTGACTGGGGACAAACCTACAAGCAAATAGAATTATTAGGAATCTCTGGAAAGTCTTATTTTTAAAGGGTTGGATGTTCTGTGTAGATGCCATCTTCCAGCGTCCTCCTGAGTCGGGGCTCTTTTGGCGTGGGAAGCATGGATCCAGGCTGAAATCCCGTCTACTTTGAGGGCTGTGGGCGTAGTCAGGAGAACTGTGTAGGGTCCTTCCCACTGTGGTTCAAGAGTCTTTACGTTGTGTCTTCTCATGTACACCTGATCTTCAATATGGTAGGATTGGGGCATTTGTGGACTCCCAGGCCGGTAGACAGCAGCCAAAGGCCTCCAAACCTGGTTCTGGATGATCTGGAGGGCTTGGAGTCTTGTTTTTAAGCTGGGGTTATCAAAAGAAGAGGGCAAGGGGGACAAGGTTATATCGAGTACAGGGGGTGGTTCTCCAAAAAGGATTTCATAGGGGGTTAAGCCATGTATAGCAGGAGTAATTCTAGCCCGAAATAAGGCTAGAGGCAGGAGTTGTACCCAGTCTTTAGTGCCAGTCTCTAGAGCTAATTTTGTTAAGGTCTCTTTAATAGTTCTGTTCATTCTTTCTACCTGTCCTGAACTTTGGGGTCTGTAAGCACAATGTAATTTCTAATTAATCCCCAATGTTTTGGCCACTCCCTGACTTACCTGGGAGACGAAGGCAGGGCCATTATCAGATCCAATTACCTTGGGCAGTCTGCTTTGGCCATTCCCTGACTTACCTGGGAGATGAAGGCTGGGCCATTATCAGACCCAATTACCTTGGCCAGTCTGAATTGAGGGTGATCAGTTTCTTCACCACAGTCTGGGCTGTTTCCTTCCGGGTGGGGAAAGCTTCAACCCACCCTGAGAAAGTGTCTATAAACACTAGGAGATATTTATAACCATACTTTCCTGGAAGAACCTCAGTGAAATCTACTTCCCAATTAGTCCCTGGTTGTGTCCCTCTTTCTCTCTTGCCAGATGGGACCTTTGATCTGGAAGCATTTACCAGGGAACATGAGACACAATCTCCTACTACCTTCTGGACTAGCTGATTAAGGTCCGGGAAATAATAGAATTGTTCTTCTCTTTCTAGTACTGTTTTTAATTTCTTATGTCCTAAGTGTGTCCACTGGTAGAGTTGGGAGATTAGCTCAAGGGCTGCCTTTTGAGGCAGTATGATTCGATCCTGATATTCCCACATTTTAGATTCTGGGTCCAAGGTAGCGTTTTGCTTCCGAACGAGTTCCAGATCCTGTTCAGTGTAGGTAAAAAGAACCTCTCCCTCCTTTTCTTGTGTCTCAATTTCAGTCTCTAGGGATGAATGGGTATAGAGAATGCATGTACCTTCTGCTACCTGACGGGCAGTTTCATCTGCCATCCGACTGCCCCGAGCAGTCGGCCCCTGGTCTCGCTGATGTCCAGGGCAATGGATAATGCTGACCTTTTTAGGTAAGTACAAAGCTTGTAGAAGGGCCACTATTGTTTCTTTGTTTTTAATGTCTTTGCCCGCCGAGGTGAGGAGCCCCCGCCTTCGGTAAATTTCTCCATGTACATGAGCCGTGGCAAACGTATAGCGGCTATCGGTGTAAATGTTGACCTTTTTGCCCTCTGCTAATTTTAGGGCCTGCGTTAGGGCTTCCAATTCAGCCTGTTGGGCTGATGTTCCAGCTGGCAGGGCCCAGATTATCTTTTCCCCATTGACCACCGCCGCCCCTGCCTTATGCTCACCGTCTGTAGAAACTGCTCACATCCGTATACCAAGTGGCATCTGCATCTGTTAGGGGCTGGTCGGTGAGGTCTTCCCTAGTCCCATGTGTCTCCGCAAGTATTTGCTGGCAGTCATGGGGAATCTCAGTGCCTTTCTCGGGGGCTGGTAGCAGCGTGGCGGGGCTTAGGGTGGCGGGGGCACCAAACTTGATCTTTTCTGGATTTAATAGTAGTGCCTGGTAATGGGTCACCCCTGGATTTGGCAACCATCTGTCAGGAGGCTCTCTGATTATGGACGCCACCGCATGAGGTGTGATAACAGTTAAGGGCTGGCCCATAGTGAGTTTGTCTGAGTCTTTAACCAGGGATGTTATTGCCGCCATGATTCTCAAGCATCGGGGCCAGCCAGTGGCCACATTGTCCAGTTTCTTTGAGAGATAAGCTACTGGCCTTTTCCAGGGTCCCAAAGTCTGAGTAACGACTTTTTTTGTTATTTTTTTTTTTTATTTTTATTTTTATATAAGACAAAAGGTTTTGTCAAGTCTGGCAATCCCAGAGCTGGAGCCATCAGCAGCGCTCTTTTTATTTTGTCAAAGGCTCTCTGGTGTTCTTCTATCCAGACGAAAGGAGTCCCATTCTTTGTTAAAGGATATAGAGGAACTGCTATTTCAGCGAAACCCAGTATCCATAGTCTACAGAATCCTGCGCCTCCCAAGAACTCTCTGAGTCCTCTGGCTGAGGTTGGTGGGGGGATAAGAGGCTACCACCTGTTTCCTGCTCTCTCTTAGCCAACGATGCCCTCCCTCAAACCGATAGCCCAAATAGTTCACCTGCTGTAGGCAGATCTGGGCTTTCTTTGCCAAGGCCTGGTATCCAAGTTCCCCCAGTCTCAATAGGAGAGTCTCCGTACCTTGTAGACAGTCAGCTTCTGTCTCAGCTGCCAAGAGGAGGTCATCCACATACTGGAGGAGCATAATCTGTGGGTTTCTTACCCGAAAGTCAGCCAAATCACAGTGTAGAGCCTCATCAAACAGAGTAGGGGAGTTCTTGAATCCTTGGGATAGTCGTGTCCAGGTTAGTTGTCCTGATATTCCAGCTTCAGGGTCCTTCCATTCAAAAGCAAAGATAGGCTGGCTAGCCGGGCTCAGCCTTAGGCAGAAAAATGCATCCTTCAGGTCAAGTATAGTATACCACCTGTGACTGGGGGACAAGGTACTCAGGAGATTGTAAGGATTTGGAACAGTGGGGTGTATATCCTCTATCCTCTGATTGACTTCTCTTAAGTCTTGGACTGGTTGATAGTCATTTGTTCCTGGCTTCTTTACGGGGAGCAGCGGGGTGTTCCAAGGGGACTGGCAGCGGCGAAGTATGCCTATTTGTAAAAGTCTTTGAATATGGGGTCTGATTCCCTCTCGGGCCTCTCTGCTCATAGGGTATTGTCTGATTGAAACCGGAGTTGCAGATGGTTTTAGTGTGACCACTATTGGAGGCTGGTTGCATGCCAGTCCTGGGCCTCCTGTCTTGGCCCATGCCGAGGGGATTTTACTTAGCCAATCAGATATACCAGGAGTTTCTGCTATCGGTCCCTCATATAACCGATGTTCAACTTCCAATCGCAGGGTTAACACTTGTAGTGGAGCTCCATCCTTTCCCTTTAGGGTAGCTCCCATTCTAGTGAAGTGGATGTGGTCTCCCAGCTTAGAGAGTAAATCTCTCCCAAGAAGGGGATGTGGACAGTCAGTGACCAGCAAGAACGAGTGGGAGACTTGTCCCATACTGAGGTCCACTTTTCTTTCTGTGGTCCATCTGTATGTTTTTCCTCCGGTGGCCCCTTGGACCCAGGCTGTTTTGGAACTCATGGGCCCTTTGGTTATGGTCAAGACCGAGTGCTGGGCTCCTGTGTCTACCATGAAGGTAGTCAATTGCCCCCCTACCTTTAAAGATACCCTGGGCTCAGGGGGGATCTCCTGGCCCCAACCGCCCTAGTCCCCTAGAGTCAGGACTGGGGTTGTTTTCTTTTGAGGTCTATTCAGCTTCTTTGGACATTCTTGAGCCCAATGTCCTCTCTCCTTGCAATAGGCACATTGGTCTTTGTCCACTCGAGGTCTTCTTTTGTCTCCCAGGTCCCTACCTGGTCCTGCTCCCTGGACTACTGTGGCCAAAATTCAACTCAACTCTTTATTTCTCTTTTTCTCCTAGCTTCCTGTTCTTTCCTGATTCTGTCCTCCCTTTCTTCTAATGTCTCTCGCTTATTATAAATTTTCTCAGCTTCTCTTACTAAATCCTGTAAGGAGTACCCCTGAAGGCCTTCTAGCCATTGGAGCTTACCACAAATGTCAGGAGCTGATTGTCCTATAAAGGCCATACTAAGATCTGCCTGACACTCCTGGGCCATGGGGTCAAAAGGGGTGTACATCCTGTATCCTTCTATTAGGCGCTCTAGGAACCCTGTGGGGGTCTCATTTTCCCCCTGGGTTATAGCACGTACCTTTGCCAAATTGGTTGGGCACCTTCCAGCCCCTTTGAGACCCGCTATCAGAGTCTGGCGATAAAGACGGAGATGCTCCCTACCGGCCATGGTCTCATGGTTCCAGTTGGGTCTGGTCAGAGGAAATCCTTCATCTATTTCATTTGGGAGGAGAGAGAAATCCTGCATCTATTTCATTTGGGAGTTGAGTGGGTCTCCCATCCTCCCCAGGAACGTTCTTCCGGGCCTCCAGGATGACTCGCTGTCTTTCCTCTGTGGTCAGAAGTGCCTGGAGGAGTTGCTGACAATCTTCCCAAGTGGGTTGGTGGGTAAGGAGAATAGACTCAATTAAAGCAGTTAAAGCCTGAGGGTCCTGAGAAAAAGAGGGGTTATGAGTTTTCCAATTATACAAGTCAGAAGCTGAAAAAGGCCAATACTGGATCTGATCCCCTACAGTTCGGAGAGGAAGAACCTGGGCAGTCCTGGTTCCATCAGGGGGGCCCCCTCTGTCTCTTTCAGGCGGAGTCTACTAGACAGGGGGGGATTGGTCGGGTTTGGTGGAATCAGGAGAGGGATGAGGTTCCTGGGGTGGAGGTTCCTGTACAGGTGGATAGGGAGGTGGAGGATCAAGGAGGGTTAGGGAGGCTTGGTCCTCGGGGAGGACTGGCTTTTGTTTCTTCTTCTCAGGGGAGGACTGAAGGGGCAGGAGGGAAGAGATGAGATTAGGGGGAGCTGAAGGGGTAAGGAGCCCTTGATCAGTCTCTCTGGTTCCCCGAGGAGGTAAGAATGGCCATGCCCAAGGTGTGGGGTTCCAGGCCAAGTCTTCCCAGGTGACTATGTAGGCCACCTGGTCCGGGTGTCCGTGTGGTCCTGGGTGGAAAATGTATTCCTTAACCTGTAAGATAGTGGCACGGTCAAAAGTCCCATCCCTTGGCCATCCCTTTTCAAAAGAGGGCCATTCAGAGGAACAGAGACTTTGCCACTTCTTCTTCTGGACCTCTAATGATAAGTTGTGGGCCCGCTCCACAACCTCCTTCCAATATTCTAGAGTTAAGCTTAAAGGGGTAGTTAGAAATTGACCCATGGTAGTCCTGATTCAAATGCCCCAGGGTGGATGGAGAGGAGGAAAGGAAATGAAACCGAAACAGGAGAAGCAAAGATGCCACTCTGAACAACGATGGTCAATGGATGTGCTTGTGGACAGGTACCTGACGTTGCCCAGTTTTTTTTCTGCGGGGGACGTGAATTTATCTGGGATTCACACCTGGGACCCCCTTATCCTTTCACGGGAGTCTTTTAGCAGTGAGCACCCTGTGGCTCTTATTTGCTCGACCCATGCCCGTGGGGCTTTTTCAGTGGCCAGAGAGAGAGAGAGAGATGGAGGGGAGAGGGAGATACAGAAAGACCATCTTGTCTCCACCCGTGCGGGCAGTCGGGCTCCACTAAGAGGGCTAAGAGCCTTTGGCTTACATCAGGGAGTGGCCCTGACCAGAAAACCTCAATTGCTCTTTTGCCTTTAATGGTCCCACGCGAAGACTTAGACCGAGAATAAAAGGAAAGAGAAGGAGGAAAAGAAGGTTTAAAATAGAGATCGTAGAGAAAAATACAAAACCAGACCTTCCCCTTTTTAAGACATTAACATAACCATCAACTACACACATATTACATTGAATCACACTCATGTGGACTGGTTCTTCTTTCACTCAGATGCACACTGCACTCACCATTCTCACTTTCAGGATCCCCAAGCACAAACACAGACAAACACAAAACAAAGTATCCTCGCCATGGCTTCTTGACTCAAAACTGAAAGTACAGATCGGGAGGGGAGTAGCCAAGCCAATCTCCCTTCTTCTCCCGGGGTGAGGAAAGCTACGCTGTCACTAAGGCCAGAGTGGTGGAAACAGGGGTCTCTGGACACCTCTGCCACACCCGCTGGTTCCCAGAATACAGACTTACAGGTCCTGTACAGGCACAATTGTTCAGACGGAACATTCTCAGAACAGGAAATGACTGACAGACAGTAAGACCAAGACAAACCACAAGACGTCTGTTCTTACCTCCTACTGATTTGAGGAAATGGGTCTGGGGGCGACCGAATCCCAGATGAGCCCCCAAATGTTGGACCCCCCCCAGACTGGGGTACCCAACATTCATGGGAGGCCACACCCCAATAACTCAGTCACCAGACCAGGAGATGCAACAAGCAAGAGGATTTTATTACGTCTGCGCAGACGGGCTCCTGCCTCACTCGGAAAGGAGAAGCCCCGAGCTCAGCTTACAGGCTGCTTTTAAAGGCAAAAACCACAAACCATAAGCAATTCCTAAGCCAAGAAAAGCAGAAGTAGGAGGGGGATTTCTCGGGTGATTTCCAGCTTGGGCAAGGAGCATGACAAGGTCAGCTCTTTCTCAGCAGTAGGAATTTGTTTTTCATTTTTACTTCCTTGTACAATTTTTCTCAGGCTTGGGGGACTTAGTTTGAATCCATCATTCTGGGGGACTTGGTTTGAATCCATCAGGGACAGTATGATTTTGCACTTCCATACAGAAAATTTTGATAAGAGAAAATTTCTCTCATTTGTTGTATAATATTTTCAGGGAAATCTGATGGAAGTAACAGAATAGTTAACATATTCTCTTTTGTTTCTCTTCTTCACAGAAAGGAAAAAAATCTAAATTCCATTCATCCAGGATTATCTTGATTATCTCAGAAGTTTTAAAACATTTTTGTAAGAGTAGACTAACATATATTGTATTTTTATTACTAGTAAAGCTTTTAACTATTTAACATTTTAACAAACTCCTATAGATTCTTGAGTTCTGCTAAAATTTTAGAACTTTCTTGTTGCTTCATAGAAGTCTATTACACTAATCAATGTCTTTAGCTCCCACCCCCCATTTTTTTCTTGAGTATTTACTCTTTTTTTTGTCTTTTTGAGTCAGGGTTTCCCTGCAGCCCTAGCTGTCCTGGAACTCACTGTGTAGACAAGGCTGGCCTCAAACTCACAACGATCAGCCCACCTCTGCTTCCCAAGTGCTGGGATTAAAGGTGTGCACCACCACGCCTGGCTACCATACATTTTTTTCCCATCTCTTCACTCAGCTATTTCTCTGTTTTGTTACTCTGAATGAGAAATTGTATTTAGAGAACAAAATGTGAGGTTTTGTGTTAATGGCATTTGTTTGCAAACATCCAGTTTTTCCTATGCTGTTTTGAAATTACAGTGAAAACATTGACATTACTTTTGTTTTTAGTTACTAATAAAATTTCTTAAGCAATTCTGCAGGTCAGATAGGTATTCACAAATCTAACTGCTGTTGAAATGTCGACCATAGCATGCACAAGATCTTGAACTTTGACACAGAGTACAATTTTTCCCAAAATCATTGAAAAAGAAAAAAAAAAACAAGGATTCCACAGGGCTGTATTTCTGCTACAAGACCACGGAGGAGAATAATTTTCACACCTGTTGTCTTATCCATTTCTTGCATTTTCAAATCCAGTAATATAGTTGTTGTTCTGGAAGGCATGAGTGGCTTCTGGCCATCTCCTCTCCTCTGTCCTCATAACAAAGGCAGGTATGATTCCTCCAAACTACCGTTTGGGAAACGAGCGAGTTTATTTGGACAGTCTTACAGAGCAATGAGTGAGGAAGTTACCTGCATAAGTGTGGGCAGGGGTGGGCTCCACTCTACATGGCAACAGACAGGGACCCTATGACCTCCCTGCAGCTTCCCAAGATGGCAAAGGCAACACCCTTTTTCTGGCTTGTCCTGTCCCTATCCTTAGTCCCGCCCCCACATACAACTACAACCAGCTGTTTGGATGAAAGACATGACTGACTCTCTGTGCCCCTCCTGGGAAACATCCATTGTCATGTTCATTTGTGCTGATCAGAGCAAGTGGATGAATCCAAACTTGACATTTGGAGGGCAATATTATGCCACACTTTACCCCTTTCTCTAGCTCTCACATTCTTTCTGCCATCCTCTTATGCAAGAATCCCTGAGACTTGGAGTGGGTGGCATAGATATAGGATGATCCTCCCTCCATTTTGGAGGGATACTGAACCCTTGGGCATTATAATCATCTGTTTCCAAGATGTGACTTTTGACCCATCACACTGGTATTCCTCCTTCTATAAAGACAAATGAAGCATGAAAATAAAAGAATATTGACTACTGTAATAATCTAGCCTATGGGTGTAAATACAAATTTTTGGAAGATACCTTAGCAGGTGTATCACATTCATCTAACAAAACAATTGCTATGGATTCCCAACTGGGACTTATAACTTCCCTTGCCATTGGGGATTAGCCTGGATTGAAGTACCAGATGTGTGTTCCTCCCTAGGAAGCAGGCCTGAAATTTGTCAGTTGTGCATATATTAGTTGAGCCACTATTGCACCAGCAAGGACATTTTGCTTGGCATGTCAATAGTGCAGTACATGGGGATTCATAACTGTTAGGGACCAATCTCCCCAAGAGATTCTGTATATTACCACCAGCCATCTGGTGGCAAGGAGTTTCCAACTTTGTACCAGTTTGCTCTCTCTCTTTCCCACACTCACATCATGAAACATCTTAAGCAATAGGGTCTTACTGGCTTCTTCTGGTATGCAACATTGGTAGCATTTATTGTCTTGGTCTCCAGGACTTCTCTGAGCAACAGCTCATGAATGGTTACCCACTCATAGTATTGGAATTTTCATTTAACAATCACACAGTTTTAGAAAGCCTATTTTTTTTATTTTTATAAGATATCTGTTCACTCTTCATCATCTATAGTCCCAAGCATTTGTAAACTTTTCCCAATCATCTGGGTGAGTACCACTTGTACCTTACCCCACTATTAAGCACCCAAGAATTTCATAGCTATACCTGGCCCTTGTACTATTTGTGAATTTACTTTCCCACCTTGTTTCTGCAGGTGTACCTGATGTCTCTCAAATGGGTTCCATATTTGCAAAACACTCAGAGGTTAGCATTTTATACCAAATCAAACATAAACAAGGTTTAACACAGCATGAAAATATTTTATCCATTTCTGTGAATTGTTTTCTCACAGATGGAGGTTGGGTACAATAGCATGGATAAGGCATTAACTTAGCTAGCTCTTCACTATCTCCAGTCATTTTTCCTGCAGCCATTCCATATCCCTGTATTTCTCCACACTTGATACACTCATTGGGGCTGCCTGACCCTGCAGGGGGCCAAGGGGGATAAGGGTCCCTCTTGCCCCTGCTGCACCTATTGTTTTCATGGGTTAGGTAGGCCCTGGGTCTGCCACCTGGCTGTAGCCATATCTGTTGTCTCTCCATTGACCATATCTGGCTGCTGTGGGAGGCCCTGAATGGGCAAACCACCTCCACCCCTAGCATAACCTTTCTCAGGAGTGAAACGTACCCTGTTTAATCTTGGAGGGTCATTTTCCACCCAGGCTAGTTTCTATTTTCTGTATCCCCTTTGTGAACTGTTCCTTGGGTTTTAAAGCCCTCCGAAAGCTCCTTAGCACAGAATTTGGCTTTTTGTCAAATTTTTCTTTTGGAACGTGGGCTAGACACAAATCTTGCCACATTTTCCTTTGAGTAACAGAGACTCTTTTCTCTGCCTTGTCTTTCTTATATCTCTTTTTAGGTTGCTCTGCTATTTTACAGACTCATTTTACACTCTGGTCTAAGTCACTTAGATCTGCCAAAGCCTCTCCTATTTCCCAAATATCCTGCTCCACTAAGGGACTCAGCCAACCAGTAAAGCTCCATACCAATCTTCACGTCCCTGCTGAATCAAGTTCCTGGAATCTCTGGTGAACACAGTCCTATCTGGTCCAGTGAACTGGACATCATACATTGCTTTCCTCATACCTAGCTATCTCAGTAATGCCTGCCCCTCTTCTATTATCCTCCAGCCCCTGATACCCATGGGAGCCTCCACTGGTGGTGACCAAATATCTCTAATTGCTCATCTAAGTCAGTCCATCAGGGACTGATTCCCCCTTTACTGCCTCAGGTTATGCAACCTGTGTCTCAAAGAGGGATGGGTGGTTATATTGCTCAGCTTTAATGCTTCTGTAGCACTTAAAC